TATATATATATATATATATATATATATATATATATATATATTATTTTTTTAAGTTTATATATATATATATATATATATATATATATATATATATATATATATATATATAGTTAAAATATATATTTACCGTTTTACCAAGTGTATATAACTACTGTAAGAAAATATCAGCATTTGGTACATACTTCCATTATTATTTTTACTTGAAATGACCCGATCTAATCCTGTTTATATGAAATGAGCCTGCTCCCGACCAGGTTTGAGCTACCAGAACTATTGCTATAACAACAACTCTCAGATGAGTTTTGAAGAACTAAACGATCCTGGATCATGTCAAATCGTCAACCTCCAAATCCAGCTAACTGAGTAATCTACATACAAAGAACGGACCCCAGTGTCATTAACAGTGTTTTATTTACAACTGCAAACACAATTGACCAATCACAACAGACTGGGTCATCAGATCAATCACTGCAGATTATCGTCACACAAAGGAGTGGTTTTGAATAAAATGAATCTCTAAACAAATCATTCAGGAGTCATTAAGATAAAAAATATGGGATATGGGAGTCCTTTGTTTAGGTAAAAATAAATCTATATAAGACACTAAAAGTGTTTTTTTGATTTTGCATGCATATCAGCCTGTTGTTACAGACCCCTAAAACCAAAGTATGACCTTTTATAATGCATAAAAGGACTCTTTAACACATCTGTTTGGGAGATTCAAGTAAGATCTTGATTAGCTTATTCAGGTGTGTTAAACATAGGACATAGTGTAGCTCCTCCCCCTTTTAAAAACAGCCAATAGCATTTTGCTTTTCCCCCGCTCTACCAAGTGAGAGTGGTTGAGCTCAAGTGCGAATGAAGAACAAATGAGAAGTAATTTTGTCACTGTTTTGGAGCACACTAGCTTATAGACATATTTAAAACTAACAATACTGACAATAACAAAAAATCTTTATTTTAATTTTATGAGACCTTTAGGAGGAATTGACGAACTCCTCTGTAAACTATTATTATGTAAATATCACACTGAGAAACAATAAGAATGTGAAAGTGATGTTTTAACTATTGTGTATAAGTTTGTAATTAGTGCCGCGCCGACGTTTTACAAAAATGGACATAACTTTTAGACGGTCCCTTACACAGTCAGCTTCCGCATCCGAACTACTGATGGGAATCATTTACCTCAACCAACTCTTTCGACTCCCGAACGGCTCTTAGTTTACTTCTGCCTTTTATAATTCAGCCTGGTTAAATATCAAATGTTTGCTACTGATATAAAGTAGTGTACAAGCATCAAACGCAAGCGAATCATCTTCTCTTGACTCTCACCACTTCACTTAAAGGAGTCGGTTCGTAGAGCCGATTCTTTCATGAATCAACAATTCGGTGCCACATTAAAAATCCGGACAATGACTCGTATTAACATGCTCTTATATTATACACAATAATATACAGTTGTTTAATATTATTTGAACTAACTGTAATATTTAGTTGAAATCTAAAACAACCCAGGAAATAGGTTATCCAGACTACTTACAGTAGTTGTCAAAATAAACTAGGCTACAAGACAAATTAAAGTTCTGTCAAACATTGGTTCACTCCTTTTACACACTTATTATTTATTCTGAATAGGTCAAGAAGAGTAAATAAAGCTCTATGCTACCTGGTTTCTCCTTGCTTTAGCAGGTACAGCTTCACTTGCTACAGCAGGTGGAGTAATACCGTCACTACTGGCTGTAAAGCGATGACGTAAAGGCAAAATAAATAAATAAATAAAAAGACATGCATAGAAACGTTAGTTGTAGTAGACATGTTTATTTGGTTGACTTAGACTTTAAATTAGAATTTCCAGTTTGAAATGCAGGCTATGTGTGTTTGTTTAGGGAATGGGGACAGTTGCAACCTTAGGGAATATGGGGCAGTTGTGACAATTATTCCTCCGTTCAGGAATGAGCTACGGTGGTGATATTCATACTACTTATTCTCAGTTAGGGCAGCACGGTGGTACAGTGGGTAGCGTTTTCATCTCACAGCAAGAAGGTTGCTGGTTCGAGCGTCGGCTGGGTCACACAGCTATATTACACATCAATGAACTAAAGTTAAAAATGTGATAGTGGACCACCCCTTTAAAGGCACACTGTGTAATTTACGCCACTAGTGGGCAGATGATTGTGTGCGAAAAAACAGTGAAACTTAAAATAAACAAATAAAAAAAAAAAACACATGTTAATCCACTTTAATTTAAAATATATTTTTGCTCTTTAAAACTGCACAAATGTTACATTAACATGAAAAAAACCCCACAAAAACAATATATAAAAACTATTAACCCGAATAAATGTGATGAAACATGCCACATGTAGATAAAATATACTGTTGGAACTCATTTATTAAACAGGTCTGGTTTGTGTTTCTTTTTTTAGTTGAGTCACTTATTTTTTATTTATTTTGTTACAAAATATCTTGAATCGTATGTTTGATCAGTGAGGCAGTGAACACTCTTTTTTATTGATCAAACATGGGGTGTACAGAGTTATACATAAAACAGTATACGATGGAATTAACAACAAAAATTAATCGTGTACATTAAGTATTTTTTCCAGTAGTTGAGATGTCTTAATAGCTTTGGTATTACTTTGTATAGCAGTGAGGGAATCATAAAAAAGTTTTAGATCAATGAAAAATAGTTTACAATTTGGTACAGTCAGCATACATTTTGTTTTGTGGATGTGATACTTTCCGAATAAAATAAGAATTTTAGTTATTTTGTCCATTTCCAGTAATCCAGAGTTGCAATCCATAAATAAAACCATTAGCTCAGTTATACTGATAAATTTATAAAACACTTTAAAAAGTAGTGAGGAAACTTGGGACCAAAACCGTTTTGTGTAACTGCAACTGAAAAATAAATGAAGAATTGTTTCCGGTTCCATTGTACAAAAAACAGCACAAGGGTGAAAAACCTTCCTTAAACTTACTTATAAAATCATTGCAGGGATAATATCTATGGAATATTTTAAAATTAGTTTCTTTTACTTTATTAGGAATTATGTATTTTGTAATATCTGACCAGATTTTTTGGGAGAAAATAAAGGGAATGCTTGTTTCCATTTAACCATTGCAATTGGAGGAGCACTTTTATCTGCAGTTGGGATATTCCTGATAAAATTGTTATTACATTTTTTATCCTTGATAGAAAGGCCCTTAATAGTAAGCTCTGGGTGAGGGCCAGATACATGGTTATATATTTTTGCGGTTTTAATAAGGTGAAGTAATTTTGGGGAGATTCAATAAACAATTTTTTTTTGTGCTCAATCAAAGTAATTTTTAAACCAAAAGTATCATGCCCGTAGCCAGGGGGGGTTCGGGTGGTTCGAACGAACCATCCCCCACGGCTAAAAGATCCAGATTTTGTCCATTTAATTAATTTATGTAATTTAATTTTATATAATATATTTATTATATAATTAATACAATATATTTATATTCAATATATATTGTAATTAAGTGTAATTTTAAATAACTCTGGACAGTAATTCCCGTCACATCTGTGCTTTTGAGGCTGCTTGTTCACTTCATTCGTTTTATTCTGATCGAATATAAACCCGATCGCTCAAACCACTTCAGAAGGTGATCTGGGATGCATTCTAGATGAAACTGGACAGGTTTAATCATTTTTTGGACAAAGTTAATATAAACAAAATAAATTATGACCTGGAGAAAATCCGCCCTGCACCTGAAACACCTGTAGGTGCACTTTTACAGCCAAAACTCTATTAAAAACATGTTTACTATAAGCATAAAACATGTTCTTTTCAGCCCTGTAGCCAGGGGGGTTTGGAAGACCCACTCCTCACTAACAAAGGTCCATAATTTGTCTCATACATAAGCTCAATTGTCCTATTTTGACTGCTATGCCATCATAAATAATGAAAATAATCCATCAAAAAAGGCTTTAAGACCAACCGGAGTCTGTCGGCTGTTGCTTCGGCTATAATCTGATGTAAGAGAAGTCTTCTTTCACTATTGTATAGTTTTTAAACAGAGAAGACATTTTACAGGTAACTTTCTTCTAAATCTTGGACCTTATTTCTGAAATAAAAGAGCAATAAAAAGGTGAAGCAGCAGAAGTGGACCATATTCCACAAAACACAATGTATGCTGACTGTACTAAATTGTAAACTATTTTTCATTGATCTAAAACTTTTTTATGATTCCCTCACTGCTATACAAAGTAATACCAAAGCTATTAAGACATCTCAACTACTGGAAAAAATACTTAATGTACACAATTAATTTTTGTTGTTAATTCCATTGTATCCGGTTTATGTATAACTCTGTACACCCCCTGTTTGATCAATAAAAAAATAAATAAAAAAAAGTGGACCATATTAAATTAATTTGAATATGTATTTTGGCTATTGTTGATATCCAGGGATTTTCAAATGTAGCCAAATTTTTTTTACCAAAGAGGCTAGAAAAATTCTGAAGAATTCATTATTATTGTATTATTAATATTATGTTTTAATTAATATTATTTTGTGGAAAGGGTGAAAAAAGACTGAGGACAGGTGCATGTTCTGGCCAGTTTGTTTTTTGTCTAATAAATGATAGTAGGCTACAGTTTTTGAACTTTAAAACTTGCTGTTTTTTCCTAAGTTTATATGATGTAATAAATTTGTATTAAAAAAAATTAGTCTTGTTTTAATTTTTCTTTATTGCAAGTTTTTAGGAAATATTTTTAGTACATCAAAAAGTGTGGTTATGATGACATCTGACTAACTAATCCAGCAAAATAATAGTACTGCTTGAAATGTCACTAAAATGCAGTATTTAAATCTCAGTTAAAACCGAGGCGTA